CTGAAATGTATTTATGTTAACCTTATGGTTATTAATGTAATTTTATTGTTTATTATATATCTTTTAAGACTATTTTTGACGCCCCTTTATATTGAATTTAATTGTTAATAATAATATTGGGCCGTCACAATATGCAGAAGAAACAGCGTTGGTGATAGCACGCAGCCTTATGGAACACCATCGTTAATGGGCTTATAATCGGAGCATGCACCGTCTACTACGACCTTGATGCTCCGATCAGCAAGAACACTGATGATCCATTTGCACAATTTCTCTGGAAGCCCATAGGAAGGAAGCTTCGTACGAAGCGCTTTGTGCCAAACCCGATCAAAGGCCTTCGGTATGTCCAAACTAACGGCCAACGTTTCCCCCTTGGACTCTACTGCCTTTGCCCATTCATGAGTTAGTTAACCTAGAAGATCACCAGCCAAGCGATCGCGACGGAAACCGTACTGGCGGTCACTAATCAGCTGGTGTTCCTCAAGGTAACGCATGAGCTGGCTAATAATGGATTACATAATTTAAGAGAACAAGGAGATGATTCCGATAGGCGCATAGTTGGACGAATCAGAGCGGTTACTTTTTTTAGGGATCGGGTGCATGAAGGCTGTCTTCCATTATTTCGGGACTACGCCTAGGGAGTAGGAGTACCGGAAAAGACGCGTTAAAACCGGTGCCAACTCCGGGGCACACGTCTTCAGCACTATAGGACGGACGCCAACAGGCCCATTCGACTTGTCGATGTCCAGGGAGAGGAGTGCTCTGCGCAAACAGCACATTCTGCATGGAGCACTCACACTACGGGATGGTCGGCGGTATGTTCCCCCCGTCATCAAAAATCGACTTGGACGCAAAGAATCTCTCTTTAGCTCAGTAGATCAGCTTTGTCCTTTGCGGCGTGGGCCAGTGAGTCATCCTCAGTTGGCAGAAGTTCCTTTGGACAGCTTTGGCAAGATACTAGAATGCACGTGTTCCTGAAGGAAGACGAACAAGTTTTTCGCCAATTCTGCCGATCTGCTTTGACTTGACAATGACACTTTTGAAGGACTTGAAAGCAGAATTATACTTCCTTTTAAGAACGCTGGTATTTACACCCCGAGACGTCGATGCGCGAGCCCAGGCCTGGTAACACTCCTGCTTATGATATAATGCAATTTTGCAGGAGCGACCAAACCAAAGGCTGGGTTCTGCCTCCGATAGATAACACAGATGATGGAATAAATAGTTCCATTCTCTGTAGCACCACATCAGCGACAGAATCAGCAACTGGGATCATCCGGCGAGAAGTGAACCTGCCTCCAAGGGTAGAATGCAAAAAAAGATCGCATCCCATCCCAGTCTGCTGACCTATAATGCCAAACACGGCGGCAATCTGCAGTACGCAACAGCGATGAGAACATCAGGGGCATCGTACTCCGGATCAGACAATGGTCCGAGGAGCCAAGAGGGTCTTCGACGGAGACCTGATATCCGTCTAGATGAGAGGTATCTGTAGGAGCGGGAAGGTATTTTATCATCCACATCTGTGTTCCGCGTAGGCGAGGTAACCAGTTGTGTCAGACCATGTGCCAAATCGAAGTCATAAACAGATCTACCCGTATGATCGATTAAATGACAATCAAGCCATTCAGCATGGTGGGCGTTAAAATCACCAAGTATCACGATCTTTGCGGATGGCACCTGCTGTAGCACGGAGTCTGCCGCCATCTGGACGTGGTCGATCAGTCGGTCTGTGTCTGCATTACCGCTATGGGACTTATATAGGCACCCGTAGACGCAGGTATGGTCGTCGTTGTCTACGCGTAGCCATAAGATGGACAGGTCCGTACCTTCGAGGTTGCTGAGGTGTCGAAAACAGATGTCCTCTCTGACGTACATGCAAACTTCAGCCCGGGGCACAAAATAATGTTCTAATCTGTACCCCGGGTAGGAGAGATATAAAGTATCAGCCGGTTAGAAAGAGCAAGGCCGGCTTCGCCGTTTCCAGATGGAGTGGACGGCGGTAAGGTTTGAATGAAGTCCTCTGATGTTGCAGAAATCCACGGATAGCGTGGTAAGGGGCGTCTTTGACTTATTGCTCCGTTTGCCCCGAGCACGTTTAGTTTTAAGTGGAGTTTCGCCCCCCCCCCCCTCCCTCCAGAATACGAGGCAGTCTGAGCACCCATTCTCAGGAAGAGTAGGGTAGTTTGGGCGTGGGTGCTCAGCGAGGGATTCTCCGTCACCGGAGGTGCTGGTATCCTCCTGGGGTAGTGTTATATTCAACTCCGCTACCATGATAAGGGGGAGGGGGATTGGGCCTCCGGCCACCTGCGCTCACCAGATAAAATGCAGAAGCAAAGCTTCTACATCACGCCGGTATTCTGTGAGGTCGTGGTACCACCCCGGATTGAGGCGGCTCATACGTGCAACAGCAAAGGCTGCTGCGTGGCTCTACCACTGTTACAAAGGTGTAAAGCTTCGGGAGCTTTACACCACCTCTACTTCGGGAAAAAAATTAAATTCATAAAATAGGGATAGGACAGGGATATGCTATGGCAAACCATGAACTCATTTGTGTTGAGCACTGGGTTGATTACAGGCATTGGAGTCTCTTTATAGGGACTCTAGTGCTTGTGTTAGGATCAACGGGGTCTACTCGGACTAGTTTGGCATCCATAATGGTATCAGACAGGGCTGTGTGGCTTCCCCGTGGCTGTTCAATCTATTTATGAACAGTTGTTTGGAAAATTTGAAATTTGAAGAATGCGGATTAAGAATAGGTGAGTTAACCGTCAAATACCTTTTGTACGCCGATGGTCAAGTTATTCTTGCGTCGTCGCCGGCCGAATTGCAAATAATTTATACATTAATGAACAGATCATTAAAAGAAAGGGGTACGAAAGTGAACGCAAGTTAGAAGAAAGTTATGGTTTTTAAAAGAGAAGAAAGTAAAACGATATATGAAATAAGAATAGAAGGGGGGGTTAATAGAGCAAGTAAATGAGTTTGTATACGAGTATTTGAGATGCGTATTTAGCAGGTATGGGAAATATGATAAGGATATAGAACGACGAGTGAACGCAGGAAATAGAGTAAATGTATAATGTAAATAACTCTATTGTGCAAAGTCAGAATGTGTCAAAAAAGACACGTATGGCAATTCACAATGCTGTGTTGGTCCCTAATTTAACGTATGGTAGTGAAAGTTGGGTGTGGCAGAAGAAGCACGAGAGTAAAATTAACACAGTAGAAGCGGAATTTGAATGACAGGGTGAGAAATTGTGTGATAACAGAAGAGTGTGGTTTGCAATGTTGTGACCAGGATTAAGAAAGGAGTGCTTCGGTGGTTTGGTCAAGTGGAAAGAATGAATGAGGAAAGGGTTCCACTTGCGATGAAATTTTAATTTTTCATTTATAATTTTAATCAATGCGCTATTATACCAAATCGGGTATTTAGTGTTAAATTTAATAGTTTTAGTAGGTGCGTGTTTTTCTATTATATTATTTAAAACGTTATAAAAATTCGACACAAAGACATCGATATTACCGTCACTCAAATTAGATTCCCAGTCTATTTGCGAAAGATTTATATTTATTGCCTCATAATCGGTATCTCTATATAACCTGACTGTGTGAGTCCGAGCCTCGAGTATTTTCTCATGTGATTTTAAAATTGTGAACTCAAAAACTGGATGGTGCGAATCCTCTGAAACTATTGAAGTAGTTACTAAACTGACTTTGCAATTAAGAGATCCAAAATACGATCATTAAAATTTTTAAATATGTTATACTGACTAAAATGATTAAAAGAAAGAAAATTTGCTAGTTCACTAACTGTATCCGATGAAAAATCTACGTGTAAGGTTATTTAGGAGCTGACTCCATATGGGTGCCTATTGGTGACCATAATGAAAGATGAAATCTTTTACTAATATATTTATTATAGCGGAACGTGCCATACAGTTGGCGGGCAACTAGTGACTGGTTGAAAAATCTTATTCACTACATAATATAGTTACAATACAACATTGCGAAGTTTACATGTGTGTGCGCAGCACACCTACAATACTTCCCCCTTTACAAAAAATGAATACAAAAAACTTAAAACTATACAATGAATATAAACTTAAAACTAACAACAAAAACTTGCTAATGCGCTTGTGCGCAGGGCTGTACGGAGACCCCCGCGAAAGGGGTGGCGGCCGCGGCGGGCGCGGGCACTTGCTGCAGACTGGTGCTAGAAGCACCTATCATCTGACCCATATTCTGGCCCGATAACGGAACGCCTGTCATTAACACCTGATGACGAAGCCAGCTTTTGAACTTCTTATTAAACTTTACCCAAATAGTGTACAGGATTATCTCCCCCCATAAAACTGGCTATCACATATAACCATGTTTGAAAATTATCCACTTTATTCTCTACAGTATTTTGAGCCTGAGAAACAATAACTGGTTTTTCTTGAAAATTACCCATAGTAGAAATCGTAAAACTTATCGCGCTAATGCTATCGCAAAGGAAGTATTTCGAATGAAATTATATTAAATACATTATAACTAAACTAGCTACCTGGAACCTATATGAAAGTGCAGTATACGCAAAATACTGAACACGATACCTCTACAATTACATTCAACTTAAATAATGTAACTTGAATATCCTGAATGAAAATATTATGCACTTGACAATGCAAATAATACTTTCACATCCATAGTAACTAAACCTGATTATCATTTAGACATGTAATTGTATAATATATATTTTATATGAACACTAGCTTATAAATCGTGAAGGTAACTTAACAATCCGACCACTTCGCGTTGTTTTCACGGTTATCGGGTTGCTCGGGCCGGGTAACAACGACGTCAGCGGTGTGGACGGTGGTAACGGAAACCGTACATGCGCAGGTGCCACATCCGCTGCGTTGTCAGCGTTACTTTGGCGTGGCGTTGCTTCGTTACCATCACATTCCTTTAATACATATGCAGGCTTTAATCTGTCGATAGAAATATGTACCTGTCTATCGGGTAATTGAATTAGGTAAACTTTTGAGCCCCTTTTTTATCACGCGGTATGGACCGTCGTAGGGTGGTTTCAAAGGTTTACGTATTGAATCGTCCCTAACAAAGACATATTCACAGTTACGTAAGTCCTTGTGCACAAAAAAACTATGACAGTTACGTGAATCGTCGGATGTAGGCTTATAACTACGAATAGTATCTCTAATCTTATCCACTAAACAATAATCATTGACGTTACGGTTGTTCGAAGAGCCGTCATAAAAGTCTCCCGGTAGACGTAAGTTTCGTCCGAACGTTAACTCGGCGGCGCTAACCCCTGAGTCACTGCGGGCGGCCGCGCGAAGCCCAAGTAATACTGTGGGTAGCTCTTCCACCCAGGACCCATGTGACAGGCGAGCTGAAAGTGCTGTTTTTAAAGAACGATGCCAACGTTCAACTGCGCCATTGCTTTGCGGATGATAAGGAGTAGTTCGAATTCTATTAACCCCCAACATTTTTAACAGCTGGTTAAAAGGACTACTCTCAAACTGGCGACCTTGGTCGCTAGTTAACTTTATCGGGCAACCGTAACGACAAATCCAACCTTCATATAAATGTTTGGCAACAGTTTCTGCCGTAATGTCTCGTAACGGAAAAGCTTCAGGCCACCTGGTCCTCCTATCGATTATCGTGAGTAAGTATCTATAACCATCTGGTGAGATCTCAAGAGGGCCAACGATATCGACGTGCACATACTCAAAACGCTCTACTTCCGGAAACTTAGTCAGATTCGATACCGTATGTCTGTTAACTTTAGAACGTTGACATTGTATGCACGTTTTTGCCCACAAAGAAACATCACGATTCATACTAGGCCAGAAATACTTTTTGGCTAACATCTTTCGCGTAGAACGAATTCCAGGATGGCTCAAATTATGTAAACTATCAAAAGCTAGGCGTCGAAACTTTTCCGGTAGGTACGGACGAGCTGTATCAGTAGACATCTCACAAAAAAATAGACTTATTTAACATAGGTATAACTAGTTCCTTTAACAAAATATTATCGGTATTTAAACCAGACATAACATTCATGATATAACTGTCGCTACGCTGCTCATTTGCAATGTCATCGAAATTCAACGCAGTTGGCATAGTCACGGCTTCGATGCGCGATAAGGTGTCAGCTACGATGTTATTCGTACCGGTTATATGTCTTATATTTGTAGTGAACTCACTTATGAAAGCTAAATGTCTCGTTCTCCGAGGCGTTTCGCTTTCATCGCGTCCTACCTTTTGAAATGCAAAAGTTAAAGGTTTATGGTCCGTATACACGGTTATTTCTTGCCCTTCAAATAATTTCCGAAAATGTTTTATAGCTAAGTATATAGCGAGCAACTCGCGATCGTATGTGCTATATCGCTGTTGGGTGGTGGTCAATTTTTTTGAGAAATAGCCCAATGGTTTCCAGCTATCTCCTTCCTTTTGTTGCAAGACTGCTCCCACGCATGTATTAGATGCATCAGTCATTAAAGCGAGTGCGGAACCCACTCTAGGGTACGTCAATGTAGCGGCCTGTGTGAGACCTGCCTTACATTGCGTAAATGCTTCGTTCGCACTATCCGTCCAGACGATGGGAGTCTTATCATTTTTCTTTGACCTTTAAGATATTTATTTAATTCTGTTAGATATAAAGTTGCGTTGGGAAGATGAGCTCGATAAAAATTGACCATACCGAGAAAACGTCTTAGTTCTGCGACAGTTTTCGGCTTCGAAAATTCCACAATTGCCTGAACCTTATCTTGCAACGGCCTGACGCCGTCGGTACTAATCTCGTGTCCTAAAAATTCTAGTTTAGTTTGTCCGAAACGACATTTTGCCAAATTAATTGAAATTCCATATTTATTAAGCCTTTTAAAAATAATTTCTAAATGTTGCCTGTGTTGAACTTCGTTGTCACTAGTTATAAGTAAGTCGTCTAAATAACAAAAAACAAAATCAAGACCTTGTAAAATGGAGTTCATAAAGCGCTGGAAGGTTTGTGCTGCTCCGCGCAAACCGAAGGTCATTCGAGGAAACTCGAAAAGTCCGAATGGTGTTATGATAGCGGTTTTCTCCACGTCACCTGGTGCGACAGGTATAAAATGATAACTTCTATTGATGTCTAATTTTGAAAATATCTTTTTATCCGGAAGAATAAAAGTAAAATCGTTCAAGCGAGGAATCGGGTATCTGTCGGGCTTTGTTATCGCATTCAGCTGGCGATAGTCCCCACAAGGTCTTATATCTCCATTCTTTTTAGGAACTACATGGAGCGGACTAGCCCACGCGCTCTTTGAAGGACGACAGATGCCCAGTTCTTGCATGATGCGAAATTCTTCTTTAACTTTTTTATACCTGTCAGGTGGCAACGGGCGCGCTTTCGCGTGCACGGGCGGGCCAGAGGTCTCGATATAGTGGACGACATCGTGTTTCGCAGTTTCTCGGAATGACGCTGGTTTAGTGATGTCCGGATACTTTAACAATAAATCCTGATATGGATGATTTACATCAATAGTTTTAACACTAGGTTGAGATACATTGACAACAGATGCCGAAACATTCAATTCTGTAGTTTTATCTATTAATTTACGCGCGTTTAAATCAACTAATAGTTTGTGGTACGCTAAAAAATCGGCGCCCAAAATTGGTTGTTTGACATCTGCTACAACGAATTCCCAACGATAAGGTCGGCGTAAGTTTAAGTTTAACACTATTGTCTTGGTACCGTAAGTTGCGATTTCATTGCCGTTAGCTGCGTATAATTTATATTCACTACACTGATTTAGACGATCTTTTCTCACGGCTGGTAAAACAGACACATTGGCACCGGTGTCAACTAAAAATCTAAGTCCGGAGTTACTGTCTGACACACACAAACGATTGAATGGAAAAACGGTACAGACCTGAAGACCCTCGGACTGTACCTCGCTGCTCAGTTTTCCGGCTGTGTTGTTTTCCACGCGCAAGGCTTCGTACACCTGTTGGCCTTTTCTCGGAACCTGTAATGGTAAAAGCATAAGTAGTTCTCCTTCCGGGGACGGCAGGGACTGCTACGGCGCCTGGACTGTGAACGACGCCGGTTGCGATCAGGGGCGCGGGACCGCGACCTCTGCTGATCGATCCGGTCCACGGTAGCCTTTATTTTAGCCACCTCAGCTCTCAACAGGGCCAAGTCATAGGCGGTAGTAGACGCTGGCGCTGGCACGGTGTAAGTAGCGGTGGCGGCATAGGAAGGCCGCACAGCCTCCATGACGTTATCTGCAACTGCTGCTAGGTTGTCCAGGTCCTTGGAGTCGGACACAGTTAGCACGGCTCGGACTTGTGTCGGAAGACGACCCTGCCACAAGACGCGAAGGGTTTCATCAGGAACCTTGTCAGTAGCGAGCTCACGCATCCGCCGAAGCAGCTGAGATGGTTTCTGGTCGCCCAGCTCTAGCTCGCTCATAAGCTTCTCGATCTGCCTCGACATTGACTCCTCATAGATGTGGAGTAGCCGAGCTTTGAGTGCGTCGTACTTGTAGGTAGGAGGCGGGTTGAGTAATATATCCGTCACTTGCGCGATAACCTCCTTACTTAGCTTAGACACGACCAGGTCAAACTTCGCCTCATCACTCAACCTCTGAGGTGCGAGGATAGCTTCCGTGCGTACGAACCATACGCGTGGCTGGTCCGTCCAAAAGTCTGCGAGGCGAGACTGTAGGGACACTGCATCTACACCTGGCGCCATAATGGGCGGTTGCGCAGGTGGCTGGATGTCTTGAACGGGTGGCACGTTAACAGGCGGCACGTTCTGTGACGTAGGCGGAAACGGCGCACTCATGTTACTATATCTATTGTCCACTGATCACAACCACGCGAATATTGCCCACTACTGCATTAACATCACATAGACCACTTCGGTCATCTTGATCACGTCGGGCTTTGTTTATCACGTCGGGGTCACCAGTTTAGGAGCTGACTCCATATGGGTGCCTATTGGTGACCATAATGAAAGATGAAATCTTTTACTAATATATTTATTATAGCGGAACGTGCCATACAGTTGGCGGGCAACTAGTGACTGGTTGAAAAATCTTATTCACTACATAATATAGTTACAATACAACATTGCGAAGTTTACATGTGTGTGCGCAGCACACCTACAGTTACATCAGCATTACTATTATTCGACCAGAAAGCGTTAGGTATGTTAAAATCTCCTAATATAATGAAGTAGTCATTAGGCTAAGAGAGAACTTCATCAGAGATATGTTCATAAAAGTTTGACAACACATCTTTATGAATTAGACATTGTGGAAAATAACAACAGTATATGTTGCATCGTGTATGTCGTTCAAATGAAAAAGAAACACGAATCACGTCAGCATGTTTATGTTACGTTTTTTAAATTCATAAAAGTAGTTTTATTCAATGTGTAGTTTTCATACGTAAACTTATCTTTTCATTACCCCCTGTTAAAAGTTCATCCATAACCAGGGCTGCTGTAACTTCGAGTAACCAATACGGGACGTTTAACACTTTCGATGCCCAAAACACATTAGCATATTTTACATCGAAATGCAGTCTTTCAATTACATCAATGCATGACTGTACACTAGTGAAAGACAAACCACACATTTGTTGGCTCCACCTCCCGCCGACCACCGGCGCCGCTCAACTCGGGCCGTTTTCCGTATTTTGTCGTAATTGCCGAAAACGGGACAAATACGGGACGAGAGGGTCAAATTCGGTGACAGGTCCATATATACGGGACGTAAAGTTAAAAAGTGAAGTAAAAATACGTAAAGTTAGCGTATATACGTCCCACTGCTGGGCACAGGCGTCCCCTCATTTCTGATAGGGTTTTAGGGCAAGGAAGTGTCCGCCGCGCTGCCCCAATGCGTGATGGCGAAGTTCACATGTCTTCGAAATATATTTTTTTCTTATTCTTCAGATATGCAGGTTTCTTCACGATGTTTTCCTTCACAGTCGAGCACGTAAATCAGCACTTAAAATTGCAATTAACAATTTCATTGGTGCCGGCGGGGATCGAATCCGGGTTACTCGCGTTCTGTTATATTTACAGCGAACGTTAACCATCTGAGCTACCACGGCTCTAGATATACGGGACGCATGATAACTCTATCCATAACCTAACATAGGCCTTTAGGAGGTTTTTTTGCCGAACCAGTGGTAAATTAAACAAAAGAGTGACTTTCAATAAGTCAATTTATATTGAATAAAAAAGATTTTGTTCCTTCCCCCATAGATTGCCTCATACAGAGTTTTTCCGTAACCGTAGTTTTTATTTTTAGTTGTTATTAGAAAGATGCTGATGCCAAACTCTTGGTTTGTGTCCCTCTGTCAGCTTTTACAACTCTAACGGGACAATACTATGGGGTAGTGGATATTCTTACGTATTAATTTGTAATTTTTTTAGAAATGGAATTAGTTTTGAAAGTAAGAAAGTATGATTAAAGGACTTACGTTTATTTTATACTTAGTTCCATTACATAAATTAAAAACTGCCCATATGAACGCCAGATTTCCCAAACCCAAAAGGCAGAAACATAATTGTTTTCGCTTACGTTAACTTTTATTTAATTATGAAAAAAGTTAAACTACAACCTAGGCTAGTAAATGAATTCAGAGAAATATATCACGTTTGTGAACGCTTATAAAGCCAATTACTGTAAGTATTTCCTTAGGAGTGTTCATTTACAACGATCAAACCACGCTTCTTAAATAACAATTTATACACAAAAAGCATTGCTTTGAAATATTTTGATATTTGAAACAACTAACAAGTATAAAAAATAATTGGCGTTTTGACACATAAATTATCGTCAATAAACGGATCTTCGTTCTTCTCAAATTATCTAAAAATATTGTATAATGCAAACAACTAAAGAAAATTTTGCAATAGGTAAATCTATACGTACATACATAAACACTCACGCCTATCACCAAGAGGGGTAGGCAGAGCTACAGACTTCTATTTAGCACAATCCTGACATACCTCTCTCGCCTCTTCCACATCCAAATACCTACGCATACATGCTCGTCGGTTAAGGTTACTCTTAATTTGGCCCATTATTAGTATTTAGCCAATTAGGTCGACAAACTTCCGCCTAGGACGTCCCTTTGCTATTCTTCCATTCACTTCTGCAACATATATTTGCTTTGTGAGTCTTTCCGCATTCATTCTTTCTACATGACCAAACCATCGAAGCATTCCTTTCTTAATCCTGGTCACTGCATCATCTTGCAAACCACACTCTTCTTTTATCACACAGTTTCTCACCCTGTCACTGAGATTCAGCCCTAACATACTCCTTAGCGACCACATTCCTACTGCATTTATTCTATTCTCGTGCTTCTTCTGCCACACCCAACTTTCACTACCATATGTTAAAGTAGGGACTAATACAGGGAGAGTTAATTGAGCAAGTGGATGAGTTCGTATATTTGGGATGTGTATTCAGCAGGGAAGGGAGATGTGATTAGGATATTGAACGATGAGTGAATGCAGGAAATAAAGTAAATGGGGCTACACCTCAATGTTAAAAAGGCTAAAATTCACAATGCTGTATGCTGCTACATAACAAAGTTCTATCTTTAATATTGAAATAACTTGCTTTTATTAAGCTCGGCTAATTTGCAAGCTATGACAGGTGCACTATCCATATTTACTGATGGTAGGACTCCTTTCTGGCCCAGGAGTCCGTGGTGTGGCTGAGTTCCACCCTCTCACCTCTTTTTGCTATCAAGCAGCAGCACGAGAGTGGCTGTGATTCTGTGTTTCATGTCTAAAGCATTTAGGGAGAAAGTATATTTACAGGCTGTTAGTAAACCAGTGACGCATCTATGTCATCTCTTCTTTGTTTGAAGTTGCTTACAGGTGTCCATGCGCTGCAAAAGTCCTACCATCGGGAGGAATGTAAATCCCTTTTTCACTTAATTTTTTCATAGGATAGGGTAACAAACGAGCACACAATCCATCCGATGGTAAGTGGTTGCTGTGGCCCCTAGATATCTACATCTATCCTCGAATACGATTGAATGCAGATGCGTTGTCACCCGTGAGGACTAAGATGGAATGCCTCGTTTCCAGTAAAAAGGGTATCCGGTTCTCTTCACTCACCATACGAAACACAGCAGCATTAAGCTACTACTTTACGCTGGTATTCTGTGAGAGCGTGGTCCTTCCCCAGTCGAGCCGACCCATTCGTGCTACAACTATACTTCTAAAAAAACTGCGCCATGGCTCTACCACGTCTAAAACTTCAATTTATTTAAAAAAAATATGTATAATGTGCTGTTTCAAGACATTTGTTTGTAGATTCGAACGAACTTTACACGCTATTCCGAGCAACTTTAAAACCAGAAGCAAGAAGATTGTAGGTACTTTACATTGGTAAGTCGAAGGTATGGATACGGATGCCTTGTTCGCACTTGCAGACTATTCAATTCAATATGTGATAGCATCGAAGCGTTCTATTACAACAAAGCGGATTTTAATGACAGAGTATTATAATTGGTAGGAGAATAGATTATTTTAAAACTATTATTCAACACGTTTAAGTGTTGAATAATAGTTGAGAGAATGAGAGCTTTAGTAATTTACTCTGTCCCAATATCTTCTTACGTAAAATTTGTAATGGTAAATTGATACAAATAAATCCACTGAATATTTATTGTAAAGAAATAATACTTTTTGAAAAAACATAAAATAAAGTAAATATAATAATTTTGGCTTTATCTATACTCAATTTATGTTTTTTTTTTAATATATTTCTGTAATACAGTGGTTTTTCATTTTGCGGCCAAATTGCGGTATTGTAACTTATGATTCCCGCACCGACACAGTGATCAACTTACAAATAATGGTTATTGTTCATGACTCTAAATGTATTTCCATGTGCAATAAAAAACACATCCGCTATACATAAATGCAGTTTAGTTTCATTTTTTTCCTTTAAATTAT